CAAACAAAATCAATTATTATGTAGAAGAAAATTACAAAAGTACTTCAGAGCTCCTCTCCCTTCCTCCTGGCTAGATTTCAGGGCAGGGCAGAATTTTGTGTCCTTGAATTCTTTTACAAAGTTATCAGACTGAGGTACAGTATGATTTTTGGCCCCTAAGTAGGGAAATTTAAATATGCTTATGCCTCTTCTCCCATCTTAAATCCTTACAATCCTGCCCTCTCTAACCCATTGCCTTTTTCAGAGCCAAACTTCTTAAAAGTTTACTTTAAGTACCTACTTCTTTTCTCATTCCCATTCATTCACTTCTCAAACCTCTGAAATCTGGTTTCTCCTCACTACTACATTAATTCAGTTTATCTGAAAAATGAGGCAATCCAGCAACTCTTCACAGGGAAATACACTGCCAGTTGAAAAGTAACAAAATTTGCCCATAAATTGTCTCAAGAGCAGTAAGAAACAGAAGCAAAACAATTTTAGAAAGACACATAAACATGAATACTGAAAATGGAACAGTCATAGGACTGAAACTCAAGAAAGAGGCATAATGCCCAACATTAAAGATATACAGAGTAAACAGCTGAAATGGAGACTCTTGCATTTAGACTGCCAAATGTAAAAACAAATAAATGTAAACAGTTTATCATCAAAATAACACTTTAAACTGTTAAGACTCCTTAAATGTACCAAACTACTGTTAGTATTCCATAAAAATAGCAGATGACCAGTATAAGTCATTTATATCCACTTATGGAACATACTAGTCAGCTGCAGTATTTTAATTGCGATGAAAACACTCTGTAAGTATATCTGCAATAGTATACTTTTATACATTACCACTTAAAGGCAAAAACAAAATTCTTCAGTTGCTTTATTTCAGCATATTAAAACACTTAAGTTTTCCTGGTTTTCTTATAGAAAATACAAAACATTCACAAGGAAATGGCTCTACATATGCTAATAATTGAGCCAAGAGAATACACACTGTGCAGTTTTACAAGGACAAGTACTAAGAAACTATAGAAGCTGCCACTTAATACTACATAAATGGCTAGAAGCCCCAGTATACACCTGTAGTCCTAGTTACTTGAGTGGCTAAGGCAGGATCGCTTGAACCCAGGAGTCTGAGGCTGTCATTTGCTATGATCATGCTTGTGAATAGCCACTGTACTCCACATGGCTAGACCCCATCTCAAATAAATAAATAAATAAATAAATAAATAAAATGGCTAAAAGTTTGGTTGGAGAGGGTAGGGAAGGAGGAAAGCTGTTTTATTTTGGCTTAGTCTTAAAAAAAATGTATCACTTAGGTACTTCAAGGATTACAGTTACTGAATTTTATCTTCTGGTGCTGAAGCAGCTCAAGTCCCCAAGGTATTCAGTTTGATAAGCACCTATGCGCCACATTCATGAAATCAGCAGTTAGGTGTAAGAGGGTGACTCTGATGAGCATTCCTTAAAAGTTTTAACCTTTAAGCAAGTTTATGTATAGGCAGCACCCTCAGATTCTACATCAAATTAGGCTTCATGAATATGTACCTACTTACATAATTGCATACAGCTGAACATCTCTGCATGTTTGAATTTCCTTAAGTGGCTATATTCATGAACATATTTACGCTTGGTAAGTTCATCTTCATATATTTATCCTTGCAAAGAAATGTTTTCGGCTGAGCGCGGTGGCTCACACCTGAAATCCCAGCACTTTGGGAGGCCGAGGCAGGCGGATCACGAGGTCAGGAGTTTTGAGACCAGCCTGACCAACATGATGAAACCTGTCTCTAATAAAAATACAAAAATTAGCTGGGTATGGTGGCGCACGCCTGTTAATCCCAGCTACTCAGGAGGCTGAGACAGGAGAATTGCTTGAACCCAGGAGGCGGAGGTTGCAGTCAGTTGAGATTGTACCACTATACTCCAGCCTGGGCAACAGAGACTCTACCTGAAAAAAAAAAACGTTTTCTAGTGCTCCCTTAATTATCCAAACCTGTTAAAAATTGAGAAATAAAATAATAAAGAGGACCCTCTTTTCCTATTAATCATTACTATAGACATTTGGATTTCAAATCTTGACCTTGGGATATTTACTGCATTTATCTTCAGCAGCATATTAAGCAGCTAAAATTATGTAAATTTGTTTCAAACTCAAGCTGGGTCACTAAGACTAAAAAGCACACTTTTTATTTTCCTGAGTATTGTTAACTAAAAGTAAAAATGTTAAAAGTTTTCTCATTGTCCAGAATGAACTAAAGATTTTCCCTAGAGGACAGGCATGGTGGCTCACTCCTGTTAATTCCAGCACTTTGGGAGTCAGAGGCAGGCAGATCACTTGAGGTCAAGAGTTCGAGACCAGCCTGGCCAACATGGTGAAACCCCATCTCTACTAAAAACACAAAAATTAGCTGGGCATGGTAGTGCCTGCCTGTAGTCCCAGGTACTCGGGAGGCTGAGGCAGAAGAATCGCTTGAACCTGGGAGGCAGAGGTTGAAGTGAGTCAAGATCGTGCCACTGCACTCCAACCTGGGCGACGGAGCAAGGCTCTATCTCGAAGAAAAAAAAAAGGTAATCTGTTAGATCTGTTAGCAAGATTATATAATGGTACACTTGATGGGAATTAGGAACATACCGATATATTCCTGTATGAACTCAAGTCACTTAACCAGTCCACTTCCTAAGCTGTAAAAAGGAAGCTTTGAATATTAAATGCTTATCTGAAACTATTTGGAAAAGCAAAGTTTATTAATACCACCCTGAAGTATCTGAAGCTCACACTCAATTATTTACATTAGGAACTTAAGCTCCTCTATTAAAAGTAAAATGTGTTTTTGGTTGAAACATAAAATATAAACAAGTATGGAACTGCATTATACAAGAAATCAAATTCTGAGAGTATCATGACAAAAAAAATCCACTGTTTAAAGAGTAAAGAGAAACAGTGGTGAGCTTGCTGTAGCATTAAAGATACTGAACAGGTAAGATAATTGGATTCTAATTCTGCCCTGCCTTTTGCCATCAATGTACAGTGTGACCAATGGCAAGTTTTAATTTCACTTTGTGCATGCCCATTTCCTTATCTGTAAAACATGGGCTAAAGAATTTGTAAGATTTCTCAGCTCTAAAAAGGGGTCACTATGACCTAAAAGATACTCTATTATAATATCACTTGTTCAAATATCATAAACATTAAGATAACATCAATAACTTAAAAATTCAAGACTTAGGGCAGGAAAATTTTTATTTTCAGAAAATTCTAAAAAACATATTGTCTTAACTTTTAAGTTTCTCCATAACTATCACAATTTTACCACAGCATTGAGCTCTTACTAGGTGTCTCTTAACATTAGACTTCCTTAATATTAGGCCAAACCCTAATTCTAAGAAATATACAGGTTAGTCAGGATATCATGGTTGGTCCTTCTTTTTTTTTTTAGATGGAGTTTTGCTCTTATTGCCCAGACTAGAGTGCAGCAGTGCAATCTTGGATCACTGCAACCTCTGCCTTTCAGTTTCAAGAGATTCTTCTGCCTCAGCCTCCCAAGTCACTGGGATTACAGGTGCCCGCCACCACGCCCAGCTAATTTTTTTGTATTTTTAGTAGAGACAGGGTTTCACTATGTTGGTCAGGCTGGTCTCGAACTGCTGACCTCATGATCCACCCGACTTGGCCCCAAATTGCTGGGATTACAGGCTCACATGAGCCACCGTGCCAGGCCCGGTTAGTTCTCTTAAGGCTAAAACTGATCTCACCTCATCTCTCACTCCCCTCTCCCTCCCACAACTGCCATGTGTAAACAGTTCACCAGGTAAATTCCTTATCTACACATTTTCAGAATTGATTCATGGGTATAATTAGCAATAAATCTAAAATCTTTCTCAAAGCTTTTGTTATTGTGTAACATACTGCAAAAATACAAATACAGGACGTAGAGAACTACTCCATCCAACTCTTGTAGACTCACCTATAGTTTTAAAAACACAATACTTGGATCTAACCCTGGAGATTTCAACAGGGATGGGTAGGTAATAGCCATACACTTTTAGAGCTCTCTAGGTTATCCTGACACCTCTATTGAAAAAAACCCTTGCTCTAGCAGCAATTGACTTCATACTCTTAAATGAGCTACCTATAATTTTAATACAAATCAATGTCCTAATTCTCTTTATTATTTTTTTGAGATAGGGTCTTGCTCTGTTGCCCAGGCTGGAGTACAGTGGCTCAATCTCTGCTCACTGCCCCTTCCACCTCCCCAGTTCAAGCGATTCTCCTGCCTCAGCCACCCTAGCAGCTGGTATTACAGGCGTACACCACCACACCTGGCAAACTTTTCTATTTCTTGAAGAGATGGGGTTTCCCCATGTTGGCCAGGCTGGTCTTGAACTCCTGGCCCCAAGTGATGTGCCCATCTCGGCCTCCCAAAGCACTAGGATTACAGGTGTCAGCCACTGCACCTGGCCCTAATTCTTTTTTGAGAGATGAAAAGCTTTACCTCCTCTAGACATTCCTAATTCTACTTTAACAATGTTTTCCTAACCTGCAGTGTTTCTCCAGGACACTGCGGTTATTTTTTCAGAAGCTGGCCTCCCCAACTCCTCAAATATTAATTTTATAAATAAAATCTCTAAAGAGTGCAGGATTTCTTCTATCTTTATGGTCAGATGTCTATTAGATATAAAGACAGAAAAACTTCAAACTACTCAAACACATGACAAATTATAGAAATCACTGTATTCTACACCTATCACTTTTCAAACACAGGATTTCTTTCTTTTTTAAAAACAGACATAGTCTCACTGTTGCCCAGATTGGAGTGCAGTGACACAATCATAGCTCACTGCAGCCTGAAACTAATGGATCAAGTGATCCTCCTGCCTCAGCCTCCCAAGTAGTTAACCCTACATGCATGCACTACCATGCCCAGCTCAGACAGAAGGTTTCTGAGTAGTTTGTAGCTCTTTTTCCCTACAATTTGTCTTCCATATAACTCAAACTGACAAGGCTATGGCTTACATAAAGAAATACATTATAAAATGAACAAACTCAAGATAAATTTACATAAGACATGAGAATACACCTGAATCACCAACCACGAAAAATAATTGAAGAGCTTGAAATTAAGCCTAAGTGTAAATCTCTATTAAGCTTACAACATTACAATAGTTAAATTGAAGGTTAGAAAGAAAATGGTAGACATTGTTCCTTTTCCTGTACTTACCACCATTACTTAGAGAAGTTTCTAAGTAACAAAAACTTTGAGCCTTTTTCATTGTGGTATTCACGGATGACACCAACACATACTACTTCTGCTTAAAAATCAAACTCATTCATCTTGACTTGTTCCCAGAAACATGACACATACAATCATTTTTTGAAAAAGTGTTTTTGTAATTACCATCTGCATACATCTGAAAGACTGTTTCTAACATGTTTTGGTCATTTTTAATCATTCTGTCTAGCCTTTCTTTGATATGAGGATCTATTTTTTATTCACTCCTAACATAGAGGTGAAGTGCATACCTTCAATGACGCAAAGTAACTAGTTAATTTTGTTTCAGAATAACGTGCAAAGGAAAGGGAGGAAACAGCCCTAAGTATATCAGTATTTTTACACATCAGACACCTTCAGGAAGAAAACACATTTCTCATCTTAGTGTGATAGACTCTGAAAAAGAACACACAGCATTGTTTCAGTGGCACAAGAAAAAAAGTACAGTTCATTTTGAGATACCGTGCGAAATCACTCAAAAGACAAGTAACTTTGGTTTCAGTCACTTAGTTAAAAAAAAAAATTTATCCATGACCGATGTTACTCTGGAACCTACTGCCAGACGTCAGAAGGCTTATCATTAATAGTATCCTACCCCTCCCCACTTTTCTGAGACACGGGCTCGCTCTGTCGCCCAGGTTGGAGCACAGTGGTACGATATTGGCTTACTGTAGCCTCAACCTCCTGGGCTCAAGCAATTCTCCCACCTCAGCCTCTAGTGTAGCTGGAACTACAGGGGTACGCCACCATGCCCAGATAATTTTTTTATTTAATGTTTTTGCAGAGACGGTACGGGGTCTCCGTATATTGCCCAGGTTCGGCTTCAACTCCTAGAATCAAGCTATCCCCCTGCCTCTGCCCCCAAAGTGCTGGGATTAAAGGCATAAGAGACTGCACCCGGCCAATATCCCCTTTGAACATCTGCTTTCGCTGGTTGGTAAAAAAAAAAAAAAGTGTCATTTTAAATTTAGTGTTACTCCTTCAGGCTGCTCCGTCTCTTTTCTTACTTGCAGGGCCAAAGCAACGTCTCTTTCCAGCTTGGTCACCTTCCAACAACGATTTCTTCGGACGCCTTTGTTAATCATTCCTGTATGAAAAATCAGTGAATCTGAAACCTTGGGGAGAGGGAAGGGGGGTTGGAAAACAAACGGCAAAACAAAAAAGGATTTGGGAGGACTACCCCAACTCCGTGAGTGGAAATGGGCTTCTCCGAATAGAGGCGAGGGTCGCCGCCTGGGGTCCTCGCACCTCAACAAAAGACACCAACTCTCTCAACTGTATTGTTAACCGATCTAAATGATACTCCAAGCCCAAAAGTAAACCGACTCTCTCAATCTCTTAGCTAAAAAATGGAGAAGGAAGCGTAGGGCCCCATGCAACGCCTTCAGGAGCTGAGACCGAGGCTCACTGGGCCTCTTGATGCGGCTTCCAGTTGGTCCCGCCCTACATCAGTCCCCAGCACGGCCTCCACCTTCTGGTTCCCAGGTTCGTGCCCGCGGCTATCCGACCAGGTCGTCCTCCACCTCACTGTCCCCACTGAACCACCACTTGACTCCCGCATACCCCTAAAACCTCTGCCGGGCTCCGCGGAATCTTCCCAGTATTCCCAACATGGCGGCCGAGTCCCCTTTGCTCCTTCACTCTGGGCGCGTCCGACTTTGGAGCATTTTGGGCATTGTAGTTCCGGCGATTGCCTCGGTATCCCTCCAGGACGTAAGAAGACTACAGTTCCCAGAAAGCACCGCCCCTGAGCATGGCTATTGGGGACGTTTGGACAGAGGGATGATGTCATTGCAAAAGCCCCACTGCATTCATTGTGCTACGGTCTCTCCACCCCCTGCTGCTGCTGGGCTTGCGATTGCCGCTCGCTCCAGCTGAGCTAAGAGTAGCAGCAGCACCAGGGCAGGGACTGACTCCAGCCCTTGGACTCAGGACATCGCAGACCTTGCCTTGCGTGCGTGACTCATTCGCACATCATTTCTGTTTATGCCTGGGGTGGGGAGAAAAATCCCAAACCAGGTGAGTTGAAGTGATTTATTCAAATGCTTCTACCAAGTTATTCCTCCCGCTTAGTTCTCAAGGTTTTCTTTTGGGAAGCTGTGAGCGGTGGGGAGGTGGGGGGGATTGGGGAGAGGCTCGCAGGCGCTGCTAAGGGGAAAAGCTCTGTGCAATTTGGGTCACTGCAAAGAACAACTCCAGCAACCTTCCCCCGCCAGAGGACGGGTGCCTGCCAATTCCCTAGTCGCAACTCCTCTCAACCTTTTGGAGACGGGGTGAGGGGGCTGGGCTAGGAAGGATGTTGGGAAGTGCTCTTGGAAAATCAGAGGAAGGCAGAGGTGGGGGACTGCAGTCCTGTCACACACGGCCCGAGAGCTGAGGTTTGAGTGGGAAGGGGTGATGCGTGGGGAGAAATGGAGACAGTGATTTAATGTGGTCGCACTACTTTAGAACATTTGTATGCCGCTTGGACGAGCACTAGTTGTTAATTTTTAAGATGAACGTGCTTAAGTTTTGTGGGGCTTTGTTATATGTGTGTCTGTCTATGTCGTTTGTCTCGCCTTTTCTGCTGATTTGAGGTGACAGTGTCCTTTAATGGTGCACTCCGTGCCAGTCAGAAACATTTCACGTGTCTGACGAAGGTTCTTTGAGGCTGCTGGAAGCAGCGTTTTTGTTAAATGTTTTCCGTTCTCCGACTGCTGGATTCAAGATTGTTTGGAAGTGGAGCCGACAGATTTGTGCTTGTGTGTTTTAAATTACATTGCATAGGCTCTTTGCCACTGACAATGGTACCATAATGAGCTGCTGTTTCCTGAGGCATAGTCACTACTCACAAATAACGGTTTGAAGAGATCGATTAGGGAAGCCGGGTTCCTTTTAACACATTAGAGAAAGGGAAAGTTAGAAGCGCTGTTAACCTTCATTTGGCATTACTGAAAGGTGCCCATGGAAGAGTAATTTTGGTCAGGGGAACCAAGGAGCATAGTAGTTGTTTTGTTATTGTTGTTTTTTAAAACGAACTGACATTTAACAGGACAGAAAGCATTCTGACTTATATGATGCTCTTGTAAGAGTTATAGGGATGATTAAGGCAATAAATATGTTACTTTGAGATAAACAGCTGGCTGGCTCCACAACAGATGGGGCCAGTCTTAGCTGAGAGATCTACAACCTTGGAAATGAATGGACCTGGGGTCAACCACACCCCCTCTTGGAATGTCAAAAGAAGGAGAAATGCCAGAGTATTTGCTTAACTCTAGAATGCTAAACCTTTTCATAGCTGAGTCAGACATAAGGGAAAGTCTTTACTGGTTGTCTTCTGCTGCTAAGCCAATTTTATTCATTTTAAATCCAGACCCTTAGGTCTCCAAAGTTGTAGCTATGTGATATTTCGTTAAACGCTGCTTGATGCTGAATGCAAAGGACAGTCCATTGTATGGGCTTTGTAGTAGAGTGATTTATTGGGATGCCAATGAGCAGCTTTTGGATTTGGGAAAAGATCAACAGTCAGCCTTTGCCTCTATGTCTCTCTGTTGATAACTCTCTGCTCTTCTGGACACCCTACCCTTCTCTCCTGTACTTTCCTTTCTTCCCCCACCCCACCCCACCCCACCCACATCTCTTGAAATTCTGTTTATTTCCCTATCTCTCCATATTCAGTTTACAGTTTTCCTTTGTATTTCAAAATCCCTCCCTTATCACCAGCATCTCTCCAATCTCAGAACACCCTCCCTGGTCCTCCTTCACTTCACGTGGGAACTCCTGGGTGGATGTAGACTATGTGAATATTTTTGCTGAATCCTCTTTGAGGAGAATTTCTTTGCTTTTTCTGTTTCTTGCAGTCTGTGCTTGGCAGGATGAGCAGCAATGAGCCTGACCCCTGGTCTGGTTTGTAGTTTCTGTGACAGACATAATTTAGCCCCAGCAGCGTGTGAACAATGAAATGCTGCAGTTGGGCTCATGCCACTTTTCCTTTCACTGGCACCTGTATTAGGAACTGCCTGTGGGTTAGCCAGGTCTTTAAATGCTCTACATGAAATGTTCTCATAATTCCCAAGGCATAAGTAGTCTTCAAATGGCTTGCCTTATATAATACATTTTTTTCCCCTCATCCTTGCTGCAGCTGGTGGTGGGAAGGCTGTTCTTTACCCTCTCTTCTTTCCTATTCCCTGTGCAATCCAGGTGGCCAAACTGCCCGTTTGGTTTTTTGAAGATACTTGGAGGACAACAGTTCCACTACCCCCCACCCCCACCCCCCACCCGGTTGTTTCTTCTCCTTTGTGCAGGAAAGAAGTTTGTTATTTTATACTCTTCTCTTAAGGGGAAGAGTGTGATAGTGGCTATATTTGTTTATGTAACAGCAGTGCTCTTCTAGGTGTGGAAAGTCCATCTGGAGGCAACTAGTGTGACAGGCAGATTCAGAAGCTGTCCTCTTAGACCTTTTATGCACCATCTTCTCATAACTTATTTTCTTCTTCTGAAATACTTCCTTAGTCACCAAGGTTTCTTTTATTGTCCCAGGGAGGAGAAATGGGCTGAATGCAGCATTAGATTTGGCCTCATCACTGCTGTCTCTGTGACCTTAAATAACTATTCATTTCTTTCTGCTTCAGTTTACTTATTTGCAAAGGGATAATGATCCTTGCTCTTTGGTTTACTGATGTTATAGCCCTCTATAATATGGCCCCAACCTATAATTCTGACAATTTATATTGATTGAGCAGCTACCATGGGCTAAGCACTGTGGCTACATCAGTGAGAAGAAATGCTTCCCCTGACCTCATGGAGCTTATATTCGAATAGGGGATATACTTAATAAATAATTGCAAGTGTGATGAATGCCATTTCCAAAAGGGTTGAGTAGGAGTGCCTGACATGGTACTTTCCCCTTGTCTGGGGTTATCAGGAAAGATTTCCTATAGGAAGTGACACTTGAAGAGACTTGGAGGGTAAGTGGAAGCAGTAATTCAGGATGGCAGTGGGAGATGCTTATAGTGGGACAAAGGTCTCTGGCAGAGGGAACTTCATGTTCAAAGTTCAAAGGGAAGAGTGGTGAACCTGAGGATTTGAAAGGAAGTTAGAGACAGAGCAAGAGGAGAAAGACTAGAATGAAGAATGAGGCTGGAGAGGTGGGCAGAGGCTAGAGAGTAGGCAGTTCTCTGAGCTACAGGTGAATTTTGGTCTTTATCCTAAGGGTAATGAGAACCTAGCCCGGCTTTAATAAACTAGATGAATGGCATATGTAGGATGATATTAAAGTATTATCCTGGCTGTTAAGTAGAGGAGATTGAAGGGAAGACTTGGTCAGAGTCAATGTGTAGAGACCAAGTAGCAAATAATTTTTGTTGTCTGTATGAGGGATAATGGTGCTTAGATCTAGAGTGGTGACAGAGGGTTTAGAGAGACACTAGTTTGTTGTTCTTGTTGTTCTTGTTGTTCTTGTTGTTGTTGCTGTTGTTTTTGAGACGGAGTTTTGCTCTTGTTGCCCAGGCTGGAGTGCAATGGCACGATCTCGGCTCATTGCAACCTCCACCTCCCAGGTTCAAGTGATTCTCCTGCCTCAGCCTCCCTAGTGGCTGGGATTACAGGTGCCCGCCACCATGCTCAGCTAACTTTTGTATTTATTTATTTATTTTTGAGACAGAGTCTCACTCTGTTGCTCAGGCTGAAGTACTATGGTGCAGTCACAGCAGCTCACTGCAGCCTCCATCTCTGGGTTCAAGTGATTCTCCTGCCTCAGCCTCCCAAGTAGTTGAGATTACAGGCACCCACCACACCTGGCTAATTTTTGTATATTTAGTAGAAATGGGGTCTCACCATGTTGGCCAAGCTGGTCTCTCAAACTCCTGACCTCAAATGATCCACCCACCTCAGCCTCTCAAAGTGCTGGGATTACAGTCGTGAGCCACCGTGCCTGGCAACTTTTGTATTTTTAGTAGAGACGGGGTTTCACCATGTTGGCCAGGCTGGTCTCGAACTCTTGACCTCAGGTGATCCACCTGCTTCGGCCTCCCAAAGTGCTGGGATTACAAGCATGAGCCACCATGCCTGGCCGACACTAAGTTTGAAAATTGTAATTCATAAGATTTGTTGATTGATTGGATGGGGGAATAGGGAGAAAAGGGAGTCATGAAATGACTTGAGTTTTTTCTTGAGCAACTGGGGATGACGTTTTCAGGGAAAGAGAACACTGAATGGGAACCAGATCTTTTTGTTTTCCAGAAGGGAGGACCCTTGGACATGCTGAGTTTGAGGTTCCTGGAAGACATCTAAGATCTTTCACTCTTCCTGTCCCTGTGTGGGATGTGGCATGATGGAGTAGAAGAGAGCTCTGGATGAGGCTTTCTCACACTGGGCACTACTTATTTATTAGCTGTATGATGTTGGACATATTACATTTTTTTCCTGAGCTTTAGTTTCCTCATCTGTACAATTTATTCCACTAATTTATACTTATCCCCAGCATGGAAAACAACAGTATACTCAATTTACTTATTTATTGTAACAGTTTTCCATGCACTATGCTAGGAAAACAACATTGAATAAGATACTGTTTACTTTGGAGGAATTCACTCAGTTGAGGGAGACAAACATAAATAATCATGTACAAGGAGGTACTTTGGCAATACTAGGCTGGGAGGTGGGGG